CTTTTGTGTCTATTAGCTGGTTTTTCTTATTGATTTATTGATTTACGTTGTTGTTAAGTGCTATAGAGTCCGTTCTGACTCAGAGCAACCCTGTGTAGGGTTTTTGAGGAGTGGCTGGTGGATTTGAACCACCAGCCTTGCAGTTTGAACCAATCTTGTAGTTCAGCGCTTATCCTATAGCGCCCCACCAGGACTCCATGTATAATATACCAAGTTTTAAATGATATATAGAGCAGTTTCTGGGATCTCCAGTCTATTGATTTATTTTTCTACTTCATTATTTTAGGTACTATGACTTTATAATAAATATTGACATATTTAAAAATAAATCTCCCTTAGAGTCCTGGTATGACACTGTAGTTAATAAGGATTTGACTGCTAACCACAACATTGGTGGTTCAAACCCACCAGCCACTCCTCAGAAATCATATATAGAGTTACTATGAGTCAGAACTGACTCCACAGCACTTACAACCAAAACCGCCTCCTTGTTCTTATTTTCAAAACGATTTTCATATAAATTTTGGTATCAGTTTTTCTAGTTCCACAAAAAAATGATAAGGAATATTTTATTGGAATAGCATTGAATTTATGGATTAATTTGGGGATAATTAAGATGTTTATGGTTTTATTCAGGCCTACTTTTATGTCCTTCAATAAAATTTTGTGATTTTCTCCCTTTAATGCCTTTCCATCTTTGGGTAGATACGTGTCTGTTTTCTTTATAGAGAGAATTTTTTTCCACCACATTTTCTAACAACTATTTGGTTATTAAGGAGCTCTGATAGCGTAGTGGTTACAAATCAGGCTGCTAACCTCGAGGTCGGCAGTTTGAAACTACCAGCCGTTCCATGGGAGAAAGATGAGGCTTTCTGCGCCTGTAAAGATTTACAGCCTCGGAACTGGGTCGCTATGAGTCGGAATTGACTCCATGGTATTTAACAACAACAACATTTGGTTATTGGTATCCTAATCTCGTATATAGTGATTTTGCTGCACATTTTTATGGTTTGAGAACTATCTTGAATTATCTATGCATACAATATTATCTGTAAGCAGCAATCTTTTTCTTCGATGTATTTTAGCTTTTGTTCCTTTTTCTTGTTTAATTGCAATGACTAGAGTCCAATACAGTATCTCTAGACCAAAGATCATTGGTACATTTCTGACATCAATGAGGATGTTTTAAAGTTTCACCGTTAATTATTAGATTTGTGGTAAGTCCTCTCACTTTTTAATTTTGAAAGTATACTTGTTTAAATCAAAGTTATGCATATATATATACATTATAGTCAAATTATTGCACAGCAGTTGTTTTGTTTTGTTTTAATCTCCCTGTATTACCCCAATTTTTCTACTTGATCTTCCTTTTTACAATTTGCATCAAATGCAAATAACAAGGACATACAAAAGTTCCCTTGTCCAGATTTAACATTCATTGACATATTATCAGTGTTCTTTCATCTACATCTTCATCTGCTTCCCCACCATCCAAAGGTTATTTTGAAGCAAATGTCAAACATCATGTCATTTCATCTTTATTATTTCAGATGTATTTCTAAAGGATAAAGACTTTAAAATATAACATTGTTGTTATTGCTAAGTGCCATGGAGTGCCAAGATTACATCCAAAATATTATTGGACTCATAGTGACCCTTTGTAGGATTTCCAAAGAGTGGTTGGTGAACTTGAACTGCTGTCCTTGCAGTTCAAACTGACCTTGTAGTCCAGCACATTAACCACAGAGCCATACCAGAACTCCCAAATATAACATTTTTGTTGTTGTTGTTAAGTGCTGTCACGTTTCAACTCATAGTGACCCCCAAATTATTAATAATTTATTAATATTATATAATATTGATTAATGGAGTACTGATGTGGTGCTGTAGGATAGGCACTTGACTGCAAGGTTGGTTCAGACCACAAGGTCAGTGGTTCAAACTCACCAGCCGCTTCTTGGAAACCCAATACAAGGTCTCTATGAGTCAGAACTGATTCAATGGCACTTAACAACAACAACAACATTAACAACGTTAATTAATAGGTCCGGCATGCATATGTGGGAGGAGATTCCTTTGTACTGTGTGTCATATAAAAGGTCACCACGTGGAGATAAAACTTTGGAGACTCACCATAACACTTAGATTTTTGAAGATGGAGTCTCTTTTCTCCCCTATAACAGAACCCATCACCTTCTTCAGGTGATAAAATGAGGCTTTATGCTCCCCAAAAGATGTACAGCCTCAGAAACCCTATGCAAGGTCACTAAGAGTCAGAACCGACTTAACCACCACAACCACAACCCCCACAACAACAATAGTGATTAGCATTCACAATTCTTTAGTTGTCTAATAAAAGTGTTTTCTTAGCTTAAATTGTCAAGACATTGCT